TTGGCAATATAGTGGACACCATAGAACATATTCGAACGCGTAATTTAGAAGCTAGTAAATCTAACTAATACTCGGAACTGAGGTACGCGTAGGGCATCATTTCAAATCGCCTTATTCTACCAAATATTATCCTTTCTTTAGAGTTTCGCTCTCTAATGTAACACAAGTTCTTTTAAAAATTATTAGTTAATTGGCTTAAATCCTATTAATTGGATTTATTGGCCGTAATTATAAAACCCGAAGTATATAAAGTTGTCTTAAGATCAAGTAACGCACTGGTCCGATTATATCCAAATAACTACAAAATACATCACAATTGTTGCGCGAAACCTTTAAAGCTGCGCACAGTGGCACCGCAAACGCCTTAGGCGAGATCTAGATGACTAGGGTTTACCCGGTTAAAATGTGAAGCGTGGGTTCTATCATCTCATCCATATTTCTAAAGTCGATTAAATTATCTCTAACTAATAAATTATACTATATCGTTATATATACAATCTCACAAAACATCTATCAATTCTATTTTAAATTGCCCAATAAATATTACTCTAGAAACACCACATAAATATAATTCATGATTTCATTGGTGGTAATTATGATGCTCCTCCAGAAACAATAAAAAAATGCCCCTAATAAACCATATATAAACTGAAGTCCTAATAAATAAAACACAAATATACCTCATCTTTCGAAGCTAGTATGGATTTATATTAATTTAACATAATAATATTCGCACTTGTGTTCAAAATAACTAACGTGTCAGATTTTTCACCAAACTATTAGTTGTACAAAATCTAATCTCAAACACAAATCATATGACTAGAACTCAAAAACAAAATATAAAAGTCCAAAATATCTAGCTTCAATGTAACAATACTAATTTGCTTCTACGTAGGTGAGTTATTAAACTTAATTTTGGTGTCGACTCATAAGAGTGAATTCTATTCTGGGTCAAATGCCCCCCCCACAATTCTATCGTTTGTGTGAATTTTACAAGGACACGTGGGATGGGATGGGAGAGAGAGAGTCTCTTCTTCCTCCCTTGTTTTCTTCATTGGAACCTGAACTCCATTTCAGAAACTGCAAATTACAGGTCTCCCTTCCTCCTTTCTTTGGCCTTGGGTATTTTGAAAAAAATAGACAGCTCACGCGCAGCCTGCGCTACGTAACAGAAGGGAAACCCAGAAAGCCAGAGCACCAGACGGAATTTCATCACTTTCGACAGGATCAGAGAGGCAGAACCACCACTCCTGGGCTTGATTTCCGGCGAGAGGAGGGGCGGCCGCCCCTCCTCGCCCTTATGTAGCTTCGCCCATGACTGGCCGCATATGGAGGCGTCATCCACTATCAGAGCAATACTACCCTATATCCGAGAGCTGTCAACTAGTATTCAGACGGTAAGGTTCCTATGCTGAAAGCCTGAAAGCACCATGTAACACCAGGGAGGCGCACCTTATTACTAGGATGTCAGGGCACATTGGAATGGACGTGGTCAATATCAAAGGAGAACGTCCATCAATGGCAAAGCTGGCAGATAGGCATGCAAACCTAGGCAACCAGGGTCGAGGTAACCTGAATCGGGAAACTGAGGAACAGGTTGTGTGGAAGGATAGCAGACCCATGGCTGTGTCAAATGTTGTGCCTTGGCCCGTTCGTTAGTGCGGAAACGAGATTCAGATTACAACCTCACCAAAATCACACTCAGTTGAACAGAATAAAATACAAGAAATAAAGACACCGAGAAATTTACGAGGTTCGGCAAAAACCTGCCTACGTCCCCGGAGAGATATTGCTCTTCACTATGAGAATAACAGTACAAGTACACATGAGTTAAATCAACATAACCCACTCCCGAATCCCTTGCACACCCACTCATAGAATTTTCCCAAGAGCCTCACTCTACCCCAAGAGTTCTTTCACTAGAATACTTTTCACTCTAGCTCTCTTTTTCTCTCACCCGTGCCCATGCTTTCCCATGGGAGAGCCGAATGCTCTCCCCCTTGGATGCTCTCTGATGCTTACCCTCTCACTTGGCAAGCCCTTTCATCCTTCGGCAAATCCTTCCACTTATAACAACAAAAGAAAACCACCTTTGAAAAGGCCACAAATCAAGGGCTAGACATGATGATGTCTCCCTTTTTCTTTGTCCCTTTCTTTAGCCAAAAGTAGATGTCTCCCTTTTCCTTTGTCCTTTTCTTTAGCCGAAAGTAGCTAGCACTCCACATGGTTGAGATGAAATTGTTGCCAACTCATAATTATATGAGCCAATCACAATAATCTCCACCTTGGCGAATATACAGTGCAAAAATCCTTGCACCTATCACCAAAGTCCATTGGCCTTACGTACCAACATACACACCCTGAATCAACCTCGTTGGTCCTGTTTCGATTCAGTCACTGCCAATGCATGTGCAGCTGCTGCAAGCTAAAATCCACCATTTAGCTTTAGACAGGATCTCGACACATCCTCGTCTCCTCCAGCAGGTTTTCCTCCTCTTCATTGTCTGCAACCTAGAAACTCGTCAGCGCTCCCGTTTCCAGCAACAACCCATCGAGCCAGACAAAATTCCCACACTTCCTCCTACCTCAGGACCATCTCATCACCTGTGAATCCCATAGCTCCACCTGCTGCAAAACCCCTGCAACACTTGAGACTAAACATCACCAGGATAAGTGTTGCTTCGAGTACCTAGAGGGCATACTCGAAGCCTTATGCCACACTCGAAGCCTTGCCACCTAACTTGCCACCCGGCCGGCCTTGCACCGTAGCACTGTGGACCCTTGCCTCCGGAACCGGATCTGAACCTGCTCTTTCTCAGATCCTCTTTCCAATTTTCTTCCACGATTCCGACCTTGAATAGCTTAAGCAATCTCGTGCTCATCATCATCCATGGTCTCCTTTATGTATCATTCCACACCAAAGAAGCTTGCACTTGCTCCAAACTTACTGTATCTTTCCATGCAGTAAAGTTTCACAAGGTTCTAAGACAAATCTGAAAGTGAGGTAAGAAGAAAGAGGCCTTTGTCTTCTTCCTCAACATCAACTTTCGTAGTTGATCAAGCATCCCATGAACACGTCTTCTTGTTTAGGCTTCCATTACTCTCCTTTGTCAAGAGTAAAACAACCTCTTCCTTTAAACCGCTCAACTGAAAATTCCATGGTGGACTACAAATCTGGACCTCCAACGAACCAAAGCCCCCAACGATGCTCTGATACCAATTGTTGTGCCTTGGCCCGTTCGTTAGTGCAGAAACGAGATTCAGATTACAACCTCACCAAAATCACACTCAGTTGAACAGAATAAAATACAAGAAATAAAGACACCGAGAAATTTACGAGGTTCGGCAAAAACCTGCCTACGTCTCCGGAGAGATATTGCTCTTCACTATGAGAATAACAGTACAAGTACACATGAGTTAAATCAACATAACCCAATCCCGAATCCCTTGCACACCCACTCATAGAATTTTCCCAAGAGCCTCACTCTACCCCAAGAGTTCTTTCACTAGAATACTTTTCACTCTAGCTCTCTTTTTCTCTCACCCGTGCCCATGCTTTCCCATGGGAGAGCCGAATGCTCTCCCCCTTGGATGCTCTCTGATGCTTACCCTCTCACTCGGCAAGCCCTTTCATCCTTCGGCAAATCCTTCCACTTATAACAACAAAAGAAAACCACCTTTGAAAAGGCCACAAATCAAGGGCTAGACATGATGATGTCTCCCTTTTTATTTGTCCCTTTCTTTAGCCAAAAGTAGATGTCTCCCTTTTCCTTTGTCCCTTTCTTTAGCCGAAAGTAGCTAGCACTCCACATGGTTGAGATGAAATTGTTGCCAACTCATAATTATATGAGCCAATCACAACATCAAAAACATCACTCACAAGGATACTCAGAACAACCCCGACATATCTTAGGTACGTTAAACATCCTTGGTCACTTCACAAAAATTTTGATTGATCCGAATGCCATCCATTCTCAAATGATCCAATCTCAAGGTATTCCTATCAGGTACGTATTTGGATCGCTATGCTACGAGGCGAAGTCTGTTACATCCAATGAGAGTACAGAGGATGCCTGTCCTCATTAAATGGTGCCAGTTAATCTCATTCCGTTGGATATCGTGGACTTTGATGTAATCTTAGGAACGGACTGGCTGTTTCATAATCATGCTTTGGTAGATTGCCGAAACAAAGTGGTCACTTTTCAACGACCAAGCATGCATGTGGTCACTCTCACAGGTGAACGTAGGAAACTGAAGCACGAATTAATCTCCGCCATAAAGGCGAAACGGATATTGAGGAAAGGCTGTGAAGGCTTCTATCATGTCTTATTTGAAGAACGCAATCCACTAACGTTCGGCGTTCAGCTTGTGAAAGAGACAAGCAAAGCCACTAACGTTCGGCTCAATAAGAAACAAAGAACATTGGTATGATTGGCTCGTAAAGCTCATAGGTAATTCGTTTTTTTTTTTTTCACGAGACATGTTGAACTTGATCTTATTCAAAATAAACTTACTTGTAATGAAAGATCTTATTGGAGATTTTGTTTTTGGAGAATTATGTTTGTTTTTTTTTCAAGTTCTGACTGACGATCTTCAATTTGAACTTTTCTAGGGAGGATATTGATATTATATCCCTCCGATCTTTTGTTTCTAAAGAGACTACGTGCATTAAAAAAATCATGTTTATGCGAGATAAAGCATTATATTTGAAAGTGTTGTGTTATATCATTTATATTTTGTTACAAGAGCGGACAACTCATCATAGTAAAATAGCTCAAGATAGTTTGAGTTCAATTTAGAACTTCTAAGTTTTTAAGCTCGTTGGAGCGCAGCTCGTTTATAGACCATTATGCTGAGAAAGAAAGTGATGAAACGATGTAAATAGAAAAGGTAAAGACACAAAACAGGAGTATTTAATTCATGAGTAAAAAAATTAATGAAATTCCTATGGACCTCTAACACTTAACCCAAGAGAGGCATAGTCACTCGATGTCAACCCCAGATATGTCCACTTAACCCAAGAGATGCAAACCCCCTCACCATATACCTAGTTTCCTGCTACTAGCCAAAGTGTTTTTTTTTTTTCCACAAAGATATTGAGGGAAGGGGATTTGGCTAAGCCACAAAATAAGACTAGAAAAACTGATGCTAAGATTCATATATTCGTACCAAAACTAGAATTTCCTTCCGACAAAGAGGGCACTTCGGTGAAACGTGATTTTTCATCAGTACACTACATGGTTGGCAACAAAGCAGATGCCCACAAGGAAGGAATGCGTTCTGCCTTCTACTCGTAAGACAGACGGCACACAGCTGATGCCTTGGAACATCATCCTCTGCATCCACTTCTTGAACTTGAGTTTCAGCTTTGTTCTCAGAAGCACGGATTGATTGCTGTAGCTGCCTTTGTTGCTTCCACGCTTTCCATCTATTCCAAATCCTGAAACAAATATTTGTAGATTAACAAGGATTCAAGTTTTGGTTTTGGTAGTATCGATAGCTTGATCTTAGAGAAATATTGAAAGATATATATATATATATATCGATATCGGTGGAAGAACAATAAACAATGGAAACGTGATATAAAACACATAAATTGTCTGAAACTTCTACAAAATTCCCAAATCAACCATCCGCATTTAACAAATAAACTTAGTAACAAAACTTGGAATATTAGATGCAATGTGGAAAGGGATTAGTTCTATTCCATTCCATTTTGTTTATACTTTAGGGTTTTTACGAAACCTTGTAAGACAAAATTATGCAGAAAAAGTAATTAAAATATTAAAGCATCATGTTAAGTATGCGAACATAGATAGAGCAGTTGTATAAAAACTTTATATGCCTTTGAATTTCAAACCAAACTCATGGAACATTGACTAGAAAATGCAATGAATCTTATTCTCGAAATTGATCCCATATCGGCTGAATTTTATCACAAGGTTATTTTGGTTCCGATGTTTAGTCAACCTGATTATTAGACTAAAACTTAATTTGTTTAAATATTTTGATTGAGGTTATTACCATCATTTAAGAGGTTTAACTCTTGCATTTATGCATTCAATGTCCCAAATTTTTTTAAGTTTAGACAAATTTAAACAATATTTTTAAACTATCATAATTACTTAAAAATCAATAATAGAGTAATATTGTTTTTCACATAGTTCTAGCAAAAATATAATGTACCCACATAATTATTAATATATTTTAAGAAATAACCATTGATACATTTTAAAACATAAATTAAATAAATACACGTAATAAACATGGTTGTATTCAGCAAAAAAAAATTTATGGGGTATAAATTAAATTTAAAAATATGGTTACATATTAAAATTTAAAATTATGGGTACAAATTGAAACTAAAAATAATGTACAAGTTTTAAAAATGGTACAAATTTAAAATAAAAATATATGAAAAAAAATACTAAAAGGATATATTTGAAAATGATTAATAAGTTATACAGTTCTAAAATTAATAATGTTGACTTTACTAAAAAAATAATAATAATGTTGACATGTAAAAAAATTTAATATTCAAATAATGATGTGGACAAAAGGCAAACCACCTTAATGAAAAAAGTTCAATTAATGAGATAGAGAAAAACGAGGTGTAGAATCTAATCTATTTTTTATCAGAACTTGCACCATGGAATTTCTCAAATGTCTAAATTGTGAATTATTCACCGAGATAATTATAACTCACATTGCCAATACTACCAAAATATCTCCGAAATTTCAGAGAAATCTAGGAAAGATAGTGCTTTGCCCCCTATCGAGTATATATCAACAATTTTTTTTAGTACATCGATACTAAAGGTAGGGTGAGTTCGGCTAAGTCACACAATGGGTAGCCTAATTTGGTATCGAATTCGTCTTTCATGAGATTCGAACCTAAGACCTCTGACTTCCAAGTGAAGAGGAATATCACTAGACTGTAGTACTGAGTGGTATATCGACAATTTTTTAATCATTGGTTGAATGTGAAGGAACAAGAGGAAATATTTGCACCTGACAGCAGAATAGCCAAGGAGGCCAATTGACATTGAACCAAGAACAATACCACTCCGGAACAATTTTTTTGTACGTAATGCAAGATCTACAACCATCTGTTCCTTAGACATCCCAGAGCTGCAAAGGATACATCGGTTATAATGCACACATCAAAGTACAGATTCAAAAGAATGTGCTGAGAACAAAATCCACTTACAGAAAATAGGGAAGATCATTGCAGGACTTGACTTCCAGCACTCCGTTTTTGAAACTGTAGAGACCAATAGCACTAATTTCCTTTCCCAAACGAAGAATCTCCTCTTCCTCGAGCACTCCACCCTTCAAAACCAGAAGCAAAACAAACAAACAAAAAAATCACATTACAAGAGTTAGTGAAGTTAAAAACACTAACTCAGATGATAAGACCATCTCCAGCCATGGTCGATAGGACCCGTCTATAGCAAGCAACTCCTTTAGCTCGAGCTATATTTTTTGTGGAACCCACATGGGCACTCTCTCTATATTAGTATGTAGCCCTATGCTAGAGACGAAAAAGATAGGGTTCGGGTTATACATAAGAAAATGATATTTTGGACGCCTAAAACAGTGAGAAAGAAAAATTGCAAAACTCACTTGGCACTCGTCACGGCCATAAAGTGCCTCGAAGAATGAAATGGGAGAAGGAGGAGCGATAACAGGGTGCAAGCGTTGATAAACTGTAGTGAGAGGGTAACAGCTGCCTTGATCTATGCACATTTACAACAACAAAATCGGAAATCGGTTTTTTTCCGCGACCACCGCCTTCAACAAGAATGAAAGGAACCTACACAAATATGATTCAAAATTACCCTTCATGTTCTTTTTCTTTTTCTTTTTCTTTTTTTGTATGTGGTCAAATGAATTATATAAGCAGCAAAATTCACAGAAAATAATGAAAATAAATAATTTGAGCACCATTTGTAAGGAGCTTGATCCTGGATCTGTCAAAGCTCTCCAAAGTGCTCTCCAATACGCTCGAAAATCCCACCATCCGAAAAGGCCCATCCATTCGTTAAATACACACTTCACAAAAATTCAATTTCCAATTCAGTTTCATCCAAAAAGACTACAGACAGACTACAGTGACAAGAAACAAAAACGTACCGTTTGAGTTCTCCAAACAATGACGGCTCTATCTATTGTTCCTCGAGAGACGAGTACATCAGACTTTTTAAAGATATTCCATTTGCTGTCGTCCAAGGCAGACTTGGCTTCAACGGTGCCACGGAAGACAGCGAGCTTTGCAGTGGACTGGTCGGATTGATCAAACGCGAGGCTTGACCGGAGATCAGAAATTTTTACGGAGGGAGCGATACGGACCTTGGGTAGGACCGAGGAGTAGGAGCTCAATTTGAGCAAGGTGCGCACGGCGGCATACCCTAGGGCAACGCCCAAAATGGGGCTGTCGAAGGAGAGGGTGAGTTTGGAGACTAGGAAGATTAAAACTTGCTGCGGCGATGGCATTGGCAGTGGTTTTCGTCAGGGTTTGCTTATACAAGATGAGCGATGGCCTTAACCGTAAACCTAAACGAGAAAGAACGTGACAGATTATTTGGTATAGGGTGATGCTTGTTAAGAGGCCAAAGAAATTATATAGAAGAAGGAAGTCTTTCAGTGAATAGATTTTTGAAATTACATAGAGACTTACAGAGAGTCTATTACTCTCGTACTTATCACCTTAATTAACAGCATATTCTCTAGCAAAAGTGATTCTATGAGATCATAACATCCTATAATCCTAACAATTCTAAAGAGACCTCATTGTGTAAACTACATTTGAACCATGTCTCTAATAAGGATAGACCCACCAAAGCAAGCCGGTCCCACCGCTACAAGAGAGATGTACGTTTAAAAATGTAATCTCCCTAGCTGGTAATTCCTTTGGTATATGGGTGAATTGTTGGGAATGTTAACTACCTTTCCTATTTTTCTTTCTCCTAATTGTCTTCCCCGCTCCCCTACTAATCGATTTATTGACCCAGCCAGTGCGTTGAGTGCTTTTGGATAGGGATTGAGCAACGTTATTTTGCCAATACCATACGCTTTGAAGAGTTTAAGCTTCAACGATGCCTATATGGATTTGAATGGCTGCTACGAGCTAGAGAATGAGCATTATCCATTGCGAAATTGCCATCACCTTCTGATATTTAACCGATAGATCGAGTGCCATATCATGTGTAAACGTGCATAAGTGTACATTCATACATCTGATATGAATTAAGTTAACTGCCTATGCTTTGAAATATGTTTGTAGGAAGGCTCCTTGCATCGTTCAAAACTGGTCCCAAAACTAGCAGTCATCAGTGCTATTTTGTTACGCTTATAGCCCATGAGAGCAAAGAAAGTGATGCAACTAGAGAAGGTAAATACACAAAACAAGAGCATTTACTTCATGAGGGGGAAAATTACCGAAACTTAGGGAACTCTAACACTAAACCCTAAGAAATGCAAATTGATGCTAAGATTCATATATATTCGCACTGCAACGAGAATTTCTTGCTGGCAAATAGGGCACTTTGGTAAAATAGGAACTTTTCACTAATGCATTACGTAGAGCGTTGGCAACAAACCAGATACCCACAAGGAATGAATGCGGATTGCCTTATGTCATCTGGCATACGACACACAACCGTCGCCCTGGAACATCATCTCCTACATCAAACTAAAATAGATTATAGTTTAGAATTTATAGTAGATTATAGTTAACACTATGATTATTTGGATAATCTTGAGAAAGACCCTACAAACAAATTTTAATAAAGGATTAGGGTTGGTGTAACGGAAGCTACTCAAAGGTCTGTCGACGAAACTCTCCAGATAGCCATCCGTATGACATCAGATTCGTGATTTAAGTGTGAGGAGTAGGTTCTGGCCTCGCTCGGCTGTAGATTTCTTTTCTTTTTTTCCCATATAGGACAATGTTGTATAATAGTGTAATCGTTGGGAACTATAATTTAATGTTAGTATGTAAAATCTAATATTAGTCATTTATAGTACTATGGTTTAATGATATTCATCTTCAGTTGTAAGTGAGAAATCTTTGATTTGATTCTCGCCAAAGACGAATTTGAATCATATTATTACTAACCTATTATGAGGCTTAGCCACTCTTCCACCTCCTTAGCGTAGATAATATCATTTGTTAAAAAAAAACATGATATTATTCTATGTTTAGTATATCAGAATGCTTACTAAATCCGACTTGATATGGTTCTATGTTAGCATATCTATTCTCATAATTTGAATGTATTTTCTTATTTGTATAATTATTGGAACAAACATTCCTTAAAACCGTTGCCACTCTCAAAAGACACTCAACTTAACGAGCAAACCCTAAATCATCGGGACGACTTAATTATAAACAACACGATGAGGAAATGTAAAATCCACAGATTTTGTGATTTCCAATCACATTATTGAAACTGAAATTTAGATAGAGGCAGGATTTTGCAACCCTAAGCTAGAGTTGGTGCAATGTAAATAGAGCTCCATGTTGTGGTTGAAGAATGGTTACCGTCTCGCTCGAATGAGTGTCAATCAATAAATAAGACCGGTAGTGTTCATCCATCTTATCCGCTGAAAATTGCACGAGCAATATTACAATACTTCCAATTTGAATTACTCATATGTCACTCCACCTACCTCTAGTCAATCACAATCTAGTACAAGGTAAGTATCAAATGTAGTTTGAATCATGGCGGCGGTGTTGAAAATCAACGATATAAAGAAATAGCAACTGAGGAACCTCAAATACGAGGCATAATATAGAAAAATTGGCTCAGCTTCCAATGGAAACAAAGTCGCCTCTATATATATCATGCCTCGTATTGTACCAATACATTAAGAATGCATAAATATCAGTACCAGTAAGCAAGAGATGTACTACTGACTCTTAAGATGCCACTCGAGGAGTTTCTGGGATGACAAAGTAACTCCAAAATCCTACTCGAAATGTTCACATCGATGCAAAGATCCTAAGGAAATATTGTATGTGCATTTACATTCAAGCCACAGAGCTTCTAAATGTAACTGAACTGATAAAACACGCAAGCTAAGCTACAGAAAACTAAAACGAGATGAGAAAGGGTCACACTTTAAGTGTGAGAGGCTAAAAAGAGTTTCGATTTTCTTAAATAAATAGTGAGTCAACCTGAATAATTGCAAATATATTCAGCATCTTATAATTACAAAATATGTTTAACTAAATCTTTATAATTAATATATAAAAGAAAGAATAGAAAGATGCATAACCTGATCTTGGATAATATCTAATTTATGAATTAAAAGACAGGATAAACAGGTTGCATGTTAGGATGAAAAAGTCCAAAATGTTGCTCCACACCATTAGGTTTCTGATTCTCATTGAACATGGCAAACATGTACCCTTCAATGTAAGCACCAGGTCTTTTCGGTGTCCCTGCTATCGACGTTATGTGGTTCATGTAGTTCTTGTTATATGTTGCAGCAAGTCCTGGAGTGGTGAAATTTCCGTTCCCATCTGAAGGCCAACCGCTCTCAGACACCACCACATCAACCACATTCGCCCCAACACCATCTATTTTCTCCATTGCTGCCAAAAATGCATCAACCATGGCATCAAACATGTTATAATAGCTCAAGCTCCCATCCTGAACCACGGGACTTGTCGCAGTAAACTGAGCGTAGTCTAACCGAATGTTTGCAGGGTCCGATGCATAGGCAAAGTAAGGGTACACGTTGATCATAAGAGGCGAAGATTGTTGCGCTAAAAATGGAACAATGCCACTCATAATACTACTTACCTCGGACGTAAACTCACCACTCGAAGGTGGGTATGAAACTCCCAAAGCAGACCCTGGCACAACTGTGGTGACCTTAATACAGGCCAAATTTTTTTCATCTAGGATGTTCTGTAGAGAAAGCATTACCGGCAAAACATAGTCACCCAAGGCGCCAGGAATAACCTCGTTACCAACTGAAATGTAGTTGAATATGATATCATTTAAGTAAGGCTCTACATTGGATGCAAACCATGAGTTCACAGCATCTTGACTAACAGCTAAATTTGGTAAGTCTTCGTTACGAATGCCTAGCGTGACATTGATTTGTCTCCCTCTCAGTGCTTGGAGTGCTGAGGGGTTGCGATCAAAGAGCCTCATCTTCCCGATTCCGTAAGTTTTGTAGAGATTAACCACTTCTGTTGCAGAAGGCAGGTCATTTCCTATCATTCCATAGCAAACACCTATGTCGGGCGAAGCTTCGACGAGGCCTAAATGGTTGTGGATGGTTGCTACAAAGGATAAAATGAGTGCAATCCAATGCAGTACTGCCATCACTTTCTGATCACTGAGCGCAAATGAAATGGCTGAGAATTTTTGTGAATATTTTTCATCTCGGAGAGAAGAGACTTTATAATTACAAAATTTGACCTGGCAGGGATTAAATCTTTAAACTCGAGCAATTTACAGCAGCAGATACACTGAATAAAGACAAAGTTATGAGAATTAAAGACCAATATATGATTCAGGAGTTGATTCTTGGAGTGCACGGGTATATCTTTTTTTTTTTTTATTGCTTTAACAATGAACAAGACTGCCCTCGCAAATTTCTCACTCCTTCCATAAATTTCAAGATTTTGCATTTATACTTAATGATTTTCTAATCAATACAATTAAATCTGTCATGATAAGAATCCCCATGACGATAATTATCCAGGTCTGAATAAATGCACAATATCCCTCTTTTTGCTTCTTCATTCACCATATCAACGAATATCGTACTATTCCCTTAAAAAATTAAAATGGTGATATATATATATACACACACACACACAATGAGTTTGATCCCTGTGGCTAGTCCGGTAGTAGGTGCTAATTGGCCGGGGCATTGCGGTTCCCCTGTGTACACCAGTTCTGTAAGGACCCATCCCCAAAAATTATAGTTTTTATACTTTTAAAATGTGAATTTACCAAAATGCCCTTCGAGGCAAATGTGTTGACTTCATGTAAGATCCATTTTCTTGGCGTATCCTCGTAGTACTCGTTATTACAACCGCGTGGGTGCAAACAGAACACAATTTGGAGTTATAACGAATGAGTTATTAACGAACGAAGTCGAGGACAAAATGGTCAATTAATTATTTTCTAGAAGGCTCCAGATTTTGGAGCAATATCTGATTGAGCCACATGTGTGGCCCAGATTGAAGGAAATGAGAAACGGATGGATGGGAGAGAACATAAAGGAGATGAAGGAGGATGGGCGCTGCCCAATCAGGAAAGAAGAGAAGAGAGACTGACTAATTAGCAGGAAGAGAAGGGAGAGAAAGAAGGTGTAGCCAACCTAGACCCCAACTCGTTTCCAGTCGAGACCCGGTATTCCACGACTTTTTCGATGCCTTTCACAGCGTTTTCCGAGCTTTTCACGGCCATCCACCACCTAGGAACAACTCCACGACCTTCCCTCTCCCATTTACACCTAGATTCAATTTCGTTTGACCTCCAAATCACTAAGAACAAATCGTACAGGTTCATGGGTGCATGGCGGCGAATCCGCCATTCCTGCAACGATTTTCTTCAATCTCCACCACTATTACATTCTCCTTTAACCCAGGAACAAAGCCCAAAAAACCTTGGAGGCGGTGAAGCACCAGAGTTGACGGATCGAAGCACACCTAATTCTAGGGTTCCGACGGATTCTAGTGAAATTGGGGCTTTTCCTTGCCAAATTAGCCTTGGTCATAGGTATGAAATTGGTTCTTTTCATTGAGATCTTCATTCCTGTAAAATTTGGGAATTTTTGGAGTTGTTCGATTTTCAAGCGAGTCGGGGCAGCCAGCCGCGAGTGGCCGGGGGGGGGGAACCCGAGGTCCTTCTTTAGGTTTCTTGATGTGCCAAATCCGAATCCACTATCTGTTATCCCAAATTATAATGTTTTAGTAGAGTTTTACTAAAGGTCCTTAATTGTGTTTAGGAGCGTTGGCGGGAAGTGATCACATTCTCGATAGTTCGAGAGGTTTTCGGGCAATGGAAAACTTGTGAGTGGACCCCTACTTAACTATATATTTTTATAAACTATTAACCTGGCATGCATTTCATATTTCATGCACTGAATATGCTTTTTATTATGTTTTTTGGATTTTCTATACTTAACATGCACATTTGAAGTTCATTTGCAGCTGCCCACCGACATTAGCTTGCTAGAATATTCTAGCATATTCAAGCATGCACAGCCATCTTCAATATTTTATGCTAGAATCTTCTAGAACAATTCCATGCACGTTTGAACTAGAATAATCTAGTTCCTTTATATTGACTAATCTTAATGGGCTGGTGTTGATCTTTAACACTCCCCATCAACACCAGCTCATTCTTTTCTTCTCGCTGAGTTGACGCTTTATCTTGAACACCCATTTGCATGATATGGGTTTCACATCTCTTAGCCTTGCCACTGGATCCCAAGTTTGATATTTCTTTAATGCACTGACCTCTTCTCCTAGCTTTACACCACTAAGAATTATGTGATGCTTCTTTACACATCTCAGCTTCAACTGATTCTTCTACTATGGCTGCATTGACGTATTTGGGATTTGGCTTCGGTATTCCTGTTGACCTCCTTAGTTGTGATCGTGGAGTTGATACCTCCACTTCACTAGGTCTAACTTCTCTTGGTAGTTGATACACATCAGTTTGCAAATTACTCTTAGGCACTTCTTGCTTGACATCGTCACCATTAAGCAATTCCTCAAGCTCATCTTGACTCGATTGGGTTTGGGCAGCTTGATCTCCCATTTTCTCCTGCAACGTATCTTCAATTTCTCTCGAGTTAGGAAACACCTCATTTTCTGAGCACCACCAAGAAGATGCTTCAGCGTTCCATTCTTCCTCCATAGCTAGATATGCTAGGGGCGTCCCAATCATCTTTACTTTTATTCTTTGAGTTGGCAACGTTAATCTCTGCGAGTTTTTTGAACCAACAATCATTTGCCATGTGGCCCTTCTTTCCACAATTGTAACACTTACCCTCAAAACTTTTATTATTCTGGGACTGACCACGGTTGCCATGATACTTCGGAGCTCCCCTGGTCAAGAACTCCCTCCTCCTTTATGATCTTTTTCCTTGTCATCACTTCTTTTAGATCCACCACTAGCATGCTGCTTAACACTGCCTTTACTTTTGGTGTAGATCGCTTCCTCCTCACCTCTTAACGAGACCCCTCCCATTTGCTTTCCAAAGCTTCTTGATCGGCAAGTAAATTTTCAAACTCAACAAGTGATGGTTGGGTCGGCCATCCTTGTATAGCGGCAACGAAGCCTCGATATTCAGGTCTCAATCCATGGTTAATTATTCTTTTTATCCTGGATTCTACAATGGCAGCACTAGGATCTAACTCAGAAATTTCACGACAAATAGACTTTACTTTGTGGAAATATTGGGCAATCGTCATGTCTCGTTGGGCCAACGATAACAACTTGTTCTCGAGAAGCTGCAACCTTGTATCGTTTCTCTTTGAAAAGAGTGTGGCGAAGGTGTCCCACACTTCTTTTGGTGTCTTGGCCTTTCGTATGTGCTCCAACATATCCTCTTCAACTATGGTTTTTAAGGAAAACATGGCCTTACATGCCTTGATCTTCCACTTCCTCAAAGTGCCGCTGGTGTCTTCTTCCGGCTGTGTAACTTCATTACCGTTGACGACATTCCAAGGATCTTAGCCTTGTAGGTAAGACTCCATACACGTCGCCTATATGTTGTAATTTTTGTTGTTCAACTTTTTGATTCCTCCAACAACTTGAAGATCTCCCATCATGTCGACAGAACTTCAATAAGCCGAATAAGATTAGTCAACAATCTTGCGAAGTACTAAACTTCTCACGATTCTCAGAAGCTTCACTAGAGACGGTCCCCGATCGTACCGCTCTGATACCAATTGTTGAGGAAAGATTAGAATACACAACTTTAACACAAATGTTGGCAAGACAACACAAGTAAACAAATTATTTGTATTACACAAACAAAATATTACAACACACAAACTCTCAAGGACACTCTTTAGAAGTTATGACACTCACTCTTTCTAGAGACACACTCTAGACCACTCACACTCTTCACAAGACCACTCACTTACAAGACTTCTCACTCTCTTACTTAGCTCTCTCTTCTTGGATACTTTCTTGATTGTTTTTTTTTTTTGTTGGTTATTTCTTCTTTGGTTGGTTGCTTAACAACACACATGCATACATATTTATAGGCATGTTTGCCAACATATGCCATCACTAGAATTTTCTAGTGCATAATGTTGCATACACAACACCGACCTAGGCGTTGCATATTGGCCACACAATATTACAAGCTGCTAGAACTTTCTAGCCTAATCACCTACTTAACATGCATATATGAAGTTCATTTACAACTACCCACCGACATTAGCTTGCTAGAATATTCTAGCATATTCAAGCATGTACCAGCCATCTTCAATATTATATGCTAGAATCTTCTAGAACAATTCCATGCATGTTTGAACTAGAATAATCTAGTTCTTTTATACCGACTAATCTTAATGGGCTGGTGTTGATCTTTAACATGAACACCCTATACTAAACTATGGGAGTGGAATTCGAAATCAAGTGCAGAAGTAGTCTAGCCAACTTAACTAGGCATAAGTTTGCAGCAAATTTATTTTAAAACGGAGCCTAAAAACTTTGATATTTAATGGATAACAGTGTATATGAAGGTAAGACAATCTCAACGAGCGATTGGGGTAAACCGGTGGCTACTGGTTGGAGGGATTACACTACCTGATTGATGAGACGGCTAAATGAGGTCTCTCTACCTATAACAACTTGAGCCTTGGATTAAATCAAGAGTAGCTTATTCCATATATATGCCCCGATTTGAGATGCTTGTCTGGTTTTAATGTCGTAACCTGATTGTTTAACTTTTCCTCAGATTTTCTTATATGCACGTTGAATGCTGCTATTCAATTTTAAGTCAGTCCTGTTCAATTTGCTTTTTTATTTTGCCATATTTTTTTCATTTTTTTCACACAAAGATATACTCCCGGTGACACCCAAGTACTAGGGTTTACTTTGAGATTAGTATGATATAGATGCAATCTGCAATATGTATGGTTAATCTGCATTGACTGATATTGTAATGATAAGGTGAGATGTCAAAAAATATTACAGTTACTATATATACAAAGAGACAGAATTTGAAAAGACTTTCCACAATTCCCAATGATGAAATCTAAGAACCCTGCGAGACGGCCGGGAAACTTCTGATATCCACACATTTCCCATTTTCCTGCCCCCTTAGCTACGTTGATCTTAGATTCTTAAGTCACAGTTGCAAAGATTGACTTAGAAATATCTTAATCATATGCATTACAGTTTGAAATCTGTCGCTTGCCTCGGTCGTATACGTTGCGTTATAATATTACTGCTGTCGCTTGCCTCGGTCGTATACGTTACGTTATAATATTATAATATGGAGGTCGAATCAAGCACACTCAAATCTAAAGTTCCAACGGGTTTTAGTGAAATTGGGACTTTTTCCGGATAAATTGGCTTTAGTCACATGTGTAAAAGTTGCTTCACTCATCAAGATCTTCATTCTTGTAAAATTTGAGAATTTTTGGAGTTGTTGGATTTTCCGGCTAGTCGGGGCGGCCGACCGCCACAAGCGGCGGCGCGTGCAGCGGCGAGTGGAGGAAAAATCCGTGGTTCCTCAACGTGCCGAATCCAAATCCACCATCCGTTTTCCAAAATTATAACGTTTTAGTAGAGTTTTACTAAAAGGTCCTTATTTGTGTTTAGGTGCGTTAGCGGGAAATGATTACATCCTCAATAGTTCGAGCGGCTTCGGGCAATGGAAAAACTAGTGAGTGGATCCCTTCATAACTTATATATTTTTATAAAATTTTAGCTTAGCATGCATTTCATATTTCATGCATTTAATATGTTTTACAATACGTTTTTCCGGATTTCTATAATTATGATTTGTCGAAATTACGTTTTATTAAAGAGTATGAATTATTGGATTTGCATGGTTTTCGAATATAATTTATATTACGAATTTATGAAATATGATGGATTTACGAATATGGATTTATTACGGTTATGATGATGGTTTGAACTAGAAAGTTATATGATTTTATGATGCTTTGAGCATTTGAACTTCAAGATTTAATAGAAGTTTTTGAGACATGTTTTTAGTACTTATCTAGTGGGTTATCATACGGCACATCTGCACATCACAGGTATTATGTCTATGGCCATAGGACACAGATGATGGATGAGTGAGATATGATATATTATATACCCCCAGCTTCACCTCCGAAAGCAGTGTCGGACAGCTTCACTAGCCACGACAAGTGTCGGTGTGCATGTTATGCTATTTGATTCAGTTTCACCTACGGGTGATGGAGAAGTTATATAGCTTCACCTTCGAGTGATGGACATGTATTGCCTTCGGGCGACTATGATACCCCTAGTTGAGTACTTCACTGATGACACTTACGGATTTGCCTTCGGACGACGTTTTTAGCATTTTTAGCATGGTTTTACACGTATCGATTTTACGAACAGTTTTCATTGCATGCTAGGGTTTTCATAAAATCTACTATGTAGTATTATATATATGTTTTCAAAACAGGGGGTTACTATGTTCATAAAGAAAACGGTTTTTCTATTATTAATATTATTATTATAAATTCTGGTCCACTCACCTTTTCTGGGTTTGTACCCCCTCATGAATTAGGATCGAGGCACATGATCCTGGTGTTAAGGCACTTCGGCTTAGTAATCCTTTCATATTATTCTTAGTAGTTGTATGCTCTGAACACGATTCTGCATTGGTTTATATCTTTCTAATTAAATATTATATTGATATGCATGTTTTTAATGGCTTAGTCACCCTCAGGTGTCGGCCAACACATGCCTACCCTGGTATTTGGGGATATTGGGGTTGAGGCGTGTCATCTATGGCCATAGGACACAGATGATGGAGGAGTGAGTTATTATATACATTATACCCCCAACTTCATAGCCAAAAGCGGTGTCGAACAACTTCACTAGCCACGGCTAGTGGTGGTGTGGATGTTATGCTATTTGATTCAGCTTCACCTACGAGTGATGGACAAGTTATTCAACTTCACATTCGGGTGATGGATAGGATATTCAACTTCACCTTTGGGTGATGGACATGTACTGTCTTCAAGCGACTATGATACCCCTAGTTGAGTACAGCACATATATGATTTACGATGTTTGACAAATGTTTTACACTGCATGCTAGGGTTTTTCATAAAACCTATATGTAGTATTATATATGTGTTTCCAAAACAAGGGGTTAGTATGTTAAAAAATAAAATGGTTTTCCTATTACTTGTATTATTATTATAAACTTTGGTCCACTCACCTTTTCTGTTTTTGCACCCCCTCAAGGGTTAGGATCAAGGCAATCCCAGCATCAGGGCATTCTAACTTAGGTATTCTCGAGTCTTCTCAGAGTAGATATCATTTCCTTGTTCGTATCTTTTTATAGAATTCTTCCCTATTATTTCAAATTAGTTGTACGCTCTGAACACGTTCCTGCTTTAGCATGATCATCCTAATTACATATCCTTTACTTGAATGCATGTTTAAAATGGCTTCGTCACCCTCGGGTGTTGACCAGCACATGCCTACCCTGGTATATGAGGATATCGGGGTTGGGGCGTGTCAAGTTCAATTACCCTCCTTAATTGGAAAAAGTTCAAGAGAAATTTCAAGATCATGCATACTCTTTATTAATTACATGATGGATACATAAGTTTTCTTAAAGGTTAACAGGTTGCTTGTTAGGATAACAAAGTCCAAAATGTTGCTCCACGCCACTAGGTTTCTTTTTTTTTTTTTTTCTTTTTTTTTTTTTGAAGAACCACTAGGTTTCTGGTTCTCATTGAACATGGCAAAAATGCACCCTCTAACGTAAGCACCAGGTTTTTTTGGTGTCCCTGTTTCGAGGTTCTGTTTTTTCATAAAATTCCTGTTATATGTCCCAGCAAGTTTTGGAGTGGTGAAATTTCCAATCCCGTCCGAAGGCCAACCACTCTCCGCCACCACAACACTGAAATCACCCCTCCAGATTTCTCCACTGCCGCCAATAACGCATCCACCTTGGCATCAAACAGGTTGTAATAGCTCACGACCCATCCTGAACCACGGGGCTTGTTGCAGTAAATTGTGCAGACTCCATGAGTAGATTTGTAGGGTCTGATGCATAGGCGAAGTAAGGATACACATTGATCACAAGGGGTGATCCTTTCGCGGGTAAAAATGCAAGAATGCCACTCATAACACTGCTTGTTCTGATGTGAATGCACCACTCGAAGGCGGATAGGAAGATTGTAAGGCATTTCAGGGCAAAACAGTCGTCACCTTAATACAGCTAAGTTTTAATCGTGGAGGACTTTTTGTAGATACTTCATTACAGGCAGGACATACCCTCCCAAGGAACCAGGAATAATCTCATTACTAACAGCAATGAAATTGAAGTTAACGTCATTTAGGTATGTTTCTACATTGGTATTAAACCACGAGTTCACGGCATTTTGATTATGTAGCAAAAAATTCTGTCAAGACTGATCAAATTCTAGTGAAAAATTGCATTAGATAATTAATTCATTCTAATCATATATAGACGAAATCACATGAAATGATCATGAATAGATGTCAATAAAAAAATTAACACCCTATACTAAACTATGGGAGTGGAATTCGAAATAGGGTGTAGAAGTAGGAGCATGTCTGTCTAGCCAACTTAACTAGGCATAAGTTTGCTGCAAATTTATTTAAAAACGAAGCCTAAAAACTTTGATATTTAGTGGATAACAATGTATATGAAGGTAACACAATCTCAACGAGCGATCGGGGTGAACCGGTGGCTGCTGGTTGGAGGGATTACACTACCTGAATGATGAGATGGCTAAATGAGGTCTCTCTACCTAAAACAACTTGAGCCTTGGATTAAATCAAGGGTAGCTCATTCCATATATATGCCCTGATTGTTTTACTTTTCCTCTGATTTTCTTATATGCACGTTGAATGCTGCTATTCAATTTTAGGTCAGTCCAGTTCATTTTACTTTTTTATTTTGCCATATTTTTTTCATTTTTTTCACACAAGGATATACTCCCGGTGACACCCAAGTACTAGGGTTTACTTTGAGATTAGTATGATATATATGCAGTCTGCAATATGTATGGTTAATCTGCATTGACTGATATTGTAATGATAAGGTGAAATGTAAAAAAATATTACAGTTACTATTTATACAAAGAGAGAATTTGAAAAGACTTTACACAATCGTCTGCCCCCTTTTAGCCGTCAAGATGTCATCTTATGCCTCCCCCTGACTCAAGGACCACAATCTTCTGCTCCATTTTCAGACACTCCTCGTTGTTTTCAATCTTAGATTCTTAAGTCACAATTGTAAAGATTGACGTAGAAACATTTCGGACCAAATTAAACGTTTGCATATGAGCTGGCTGTACGTGCTTGACCAAGCTAGAGTCTTTGAGTCACAATTGCTAAGATTGACAATCTGCAATGTAGTTGGCTGTACTGCTTCTGCTTGATTGATATAGCTACGTCGATCTTAGATTCTTAAGTCACAATTGCAAAGATCGAGGTAGAAAATGTCTTAATCACATGCCTCAAAGTTTGAAATCTGTCGCTTGACTCGGTCGTATACGTTACATTATAATATTACTGCTGTCGCTTGCCTCGGTCGTGTACGTTACGTTCTAATATCCCTCTATAAATACAGTCCTAATTTCCTTATCAAGAAACACCTCAAAATAGAAGGCTACAACCGAAAAAATTACGAAACGATCCGTGAAGATGATTTTCCCTATCTTCTTCACATTCTCTCTCCTCCTCTCCTCCTCCCTTGCTTCTGTGAAAGACTTCTGCATCGCAAACTACAAAGCCCGGGAGGGCCCTGCAGGCTACTCTTGCAAAAAGCCTGCTAAAGTTACGGTAGATGATTTCGTGTACTCTGGCCTAGGCATTCCCGGCAACACCACGAATATCTTCAAATCCGCAGTCACCCCTGCTTTTGCTGCTCAATTTCCTGGTGTGAATGGCCTCGGCATTTCATTCGCGCGCCTAGACCTAGCTGTGGGTGGAGTCATGCCACTTCACACGCACCCCAGGGGTTCGGAAATCCTACTTGTTGCTCAAGGAACAATAATTGCCGGGTTTGTTTCCTCAGCTAATAACACGGTTTATAGGAAAACTCTTAAAAAGGGTGACATTATGGCGATCCCTCAAGGTCTACTGCACTTCCAAGTGAATGGAGATAAAACTCCAGCCCTTGCATTTGTTAGCTTCAGTAGTCCAAGCCCTGGTCTGCAGATTCTGGACTATGCGCTGTTCCAAAACGACTTACCTACTGAATTGATAGCGCAGACTACTGTCCTCGACGCTGCGCAGATAAAGAAGCTTAAGGGTGTTCTCGGTGGTACCAATTAGATTGCCTCTTTCTTTTCATCCCCCGTCTTCTGGGGTTATTCCATGTCCCTTTGTTTTCTTGTTGTGATTGAGAGTAAAAGAGTTCTGTTTAGTGTTTGGAAGCATTATACTGCTTCAGTCTGACCAATGTAGCAACAATTATGTTGAAGGCAATATATGCATCTTTGAAACAAAATTCTTTCTTTTTATATATTTCTATATTATTGAGGTAACATGCTTAATTTTCAATCAAGAAACAAGAACACTAGCGTACCTTATTCATTGAAAATTGCACGATAAGGTGAACAAGAGAAGAATTTTACAGTTATCATACACAAAAAAAGACAGAATTTGAAAACTATCTTCTTATGTCCCCCCACCCCCCAATCCCGTCCATTTTCTCAAGGACCACAATCTGTTCACCATTTTCGGAATCTCGCGATGGACTTCAAATCTTAGGACACAACCTTGGACCCTCTAAGTAGAAAAGATATATAAGTTCACAAAACACGAAATACGTCTATATCTCGTTAATGCATTGATTGTTTAGGAAAACAGTTGCAAAATATGTTAGGTAATCTATAGTTGATAATTATATATAACAGACCAAAAAAAACTTACTAGTTTTCGTTGTGTGGAACACCAAATTTTTATAGTACTATTGGGATGGGATTTACTTGAAACGGTGAAAGATTTGGGAACTTGAATAACAGTAAGTCAGTAGTTTTCTGCATATCATATTGTTGCTGTTACTGTATTGTCAAAAACAAAAAGAGGCTTCTTCTTGTTATCTGAATAAAATATCACACTCACATGCTTCACGGCTTGAAATCTGTCCTATGCCTCATCGTATAATTTCAAAATACAATACATGTAACCCTAATGGGCATATTCCGAACAACCAATTGCAATATGAGCTCAAGATATTTACATTATCCCACTGTGTGTGTATATGATCCCAAATTCCTTATCAAGAAACACAACTTAGAAAAGGCTTTAGCAAGCACACAACTGTTGCGCTTTGTAACCATGCTTTTTCCTATCTTCTTCACATTTTTTCTCCTCTTCTCCTCCTCCAATGCAGCTGTGCAGGACTTCTGTGTTGCAGACCTCACAGTGCCCGACGGCCCTGCAGGCTACTCTTGCAAAAGTTAAAGTGGATGACTTTGTTTTCTCGGGCCTAGACATTGCTGGCAACACCACAAACATCATCAAAGCTGCAGTCACCCCGGCATTTGCTGCTCAGTTCCCTGGTGTCAACGGCTTTGGCATTTCGCTCACACGTCTAGACCTGGCTGTTGGTGGAGTCGTCCCATTCCACACACACACCCTGGAGCTTTGGGAGTCCTGATTGTCATCAAAGGGACAATCTGTGCCAGCTTTGTTTCCTTGGCGAACACAGTTTATCTACGAACTCTTGAGAAGGGTGATATTATGGTTTTCCCTCAGGGGTTATTGCACTTCCAAGTGAATGGAGGTGAGACTCCAGCCCTTGCATTTGCTAGCTTCAGTAGGCCAAGCCCAGGGCGACAGATTCTGGACTTTGCGCTGTTTAAAAACGATTTAGCAACGGAACTGATTGCGCAGACTACTTTCCTCGATGCTGCTCAGATCAAGAAACTGAAGGGTGTTCTTGGTGGTACTAATTAGTAGTTAAGCTCTCTCATTTCGGTTTCCTCTTAGTGGCAGTTTCTGGATTCGTTGTAGAAGAGTACCATGCTCGATTTTTGTATGCTTGTAGTAGAAGTATAGTTGTGTGGGCTTATTCTTCAAGGCGAAATGCCCCATTTATTTGAAACCCTGTTCATATTTGCATCTGAAGATAATAAATGCATGTTTCTTTACATATCTTGTATAATTTGAAGCAAGAAACAAGTCGGGTCGAACAACTTTAGGATCGATATCAGCAATGCAGTTCATCCGACGATCAACTACTGAATCCGAATTACAGAGCTACGGCACAATTAAACCCGAACGATGAAACGAACAAAGGGTTGACCTCAACCATAAACTCTCAATGTTGACCTTAACTAATATTTGCATGGTTTAAATTTCTTTATGGAATATATGCCAAGTTCCAATGTCGCCTCACCGCCACGTGATGTTACTAATCCACTCGTATAATAACACAAGTATCTTTATATTGTACTATACCTAATTTCCATCAACTATTTACTATAGTTTACATACATTATAACACACGTGAATTAATACCACCATGTAGTTTCTTTCTCAAGAAGACTTCAATCAGTAGCATAATTAAGCCATCAATCTGGGCTTAATTTCTGCAGATTAACCAAAATTTCATGCCAAATCCAATTTTGCACGACGGTTATCGATCAAAATCACATTTTCCATCTCCCTTCTTTTCTACATCAAAAGGCGCTATGGCTGTTAAAGAAAAAAAACTTTATTGGCACTTTTCAATCACTTTCCTTAGGAACTTTCCATGAAAGAAACATCAAGTTCACAACTTAAGTTAATTTCATAAATTACCAATCAATACATCCACGTCAATAAATCACTCTCTTACGATGTTGAATTAAGGTTATTTGAATTCGGACGACAATGTTTTATCCATACTCTCATTTCCTTCTTCTGCACTCTTCTCTTTTTCTCGGATTGAATAATACAAAAAAGAATCAATGTATAACAATAAAAAGAGGAGCACGTGAGGAGAAAGTAGGGATTTGAACACATGCGAGAAAATGGCGAAATGTGATGATGACAATGGGATGAACGGGGCCAACTGCAAGGAAGGCCAAGAGTGGTGGGTGAATTTGGTTTGGCCTTACTAGATGGGAATTGTTATTGGCACTCCAAACTTTTTATATTTAAAAAGAAAAATACACCTGTGAAGAGTGTCAAATGAAATTTTTGAAGTGCTAATAACAATTCCTTACCTGGATTAGGCCTTGGAGGTGGGTGGGTGGGCGGGCTTCCTTCTTTGAGCTTGAGAGAGTTTGAAAAGCCGTTATTATAACGGTACATTGAGCTCCGAGATGGCGGGAAATGTCAACTACCCAAAAATCCATTAATATTGTTACTTTTTTTCTTGATGAAGCTCATGTTCATTAATTTGCTTTTGAAATGGAACGATACGTGTTTTTAGTAAACTTTTCAAATCTAGTCGTAGTGAGTGTTTAGAGCAAGTCCATCGGAGGTGGAATAGCCCAGCACCCAGTCAAAAAATCAGGCTGGGATCCTGTCAATCCACTCCAGCCCACGGGATTGCCTGGCACCCAGCCCAAGCTGGTCTCCAGGCCAGCCCGAAATTGACAGACCTTGGGACTGGCCTATATGATGTCATGATCTGAAATCGATGATGACGAACTCCATCTCCAGCAAGGAAGACAGCTGGACGATGCTACCTTCGAGGACGAGGCCGCCGACCCGGAACTTGCTGTTGAGGACGAGCTGGTCTTGGAAGCTGTTGAGGACGATGACATCCAATCCGGCGATGCAGCTGAAGGTCAGGGCGTAGGTCCAGAGGCGGTGGGTTTGGAGCTGGGGAGCCCAGGCGCCGATGTCGACCAATTTTGGGGGGGGGTTGGACCGTGAAGGGCGCTGGGCGGTGGAAAGGAAGCGGAGAGTGAAGGGGAGGTGGGGATTTGATGGAGGGGTATGGGGTTGGCGTGCTCTGGTCTGAGGAGCATTTTTTGAGAGAAAGGGAAGGAGAGGGGGAGAAAGAGAGCTCACGGTGATGATGAAGGTGGTGGTGGGTTGGCGTGCTTTGATGTACAATCTGTCAAATTATTATTTTTTATTATTTTATAACAAAAAATAATAATATTGTAATAAAATTGACTAGGCTATTTTTTGTTAGGGGTGGAGATGATTTGGCCTATTACTGTTCACGGGGGTCTATTACTATTCACTTGAGTGGATAAATGGGCTGAGTGCTGGCGCAAAGTCTTTAGGGGTGGACTTGCTCTTACCTCATATACAAAATTATATCATTAATTCAATGTTCTTTAGTATTACAAGTAGCTTGTAAATCAGTTGATTAAGAGTCTTCATCTTTGCACTTGAGGTTCCGTGTTTGAATCCTTATCCTCGTTGCTTAATGTAGACATTTTATCGTTTTTCAAAAAGTATGGCACTTAATATAATTAATGCACATATTATAATACAAGCAGAAATTTGAAAAGACGAGCGAAAAATTGGAATTGAAGTTAATTAGCATGGCAAGTAGATATTAAGGTTATGTTATTTGGACACTTAAAGTGATAATGCTGATACACTCTTTAATCTTATATATAAAGCCAATACAAAAGGTTAATAGTGCTTTTGGTGTCACCAAGCTTCAACAAAATATTTGGACAAAAATGCCCCCAAGACAAAAAAACTTCAAAGGCATACCAAAATAATGCAGGGGTATTTTCGTCATTTTAATAGTGTTTTTTTTAATAATTAATTTTTTGTGCTTTTTTTTTTAATTAGTACATTACAATAGGCTAGTAATAATGTGATTCAATTTCTCTATTTCGCAAACACGTTCAAAACATCTTAAGAGGCGTATAATGCCGGTTATAAAAAAGGTTTTTCGCATGCGGATAATAATATGATTAAATTAGTTGTCAAATGATTGTTTTTTTTTTTAACAAACGATATTATCTACACTAAGGGAGATGAGGGGTTGGGCAGTGATGTGATTCAATTAGTTGTTTATTAAATATTATTTTCTCTATTTTTAAATACGTTCAAAACATTTTAAGAGGAGTGAAATGCCAGTTATAAAAAATGTCTTTTGCACGCGGATAATAATGTGATTAAATTAGTTGTTAAATGATTGTTTTTTTTTTTAACAAACGATATTATCTACACTAAGGAGGCGGGGTGAGCTCAATCTCGCAATAAACTAGCAACAATGTGATTCAATCAATTACTTATCAAATATTATTTTCTCTATTCTTAATATAAATTCTATAAAGACCGATTTTATTATATGAATTCAGCTTCTTTAATTAGTTTATGAGGGTTTCTTCTAGCATGATCTAAGATTATTTATTTACTTCAAATATTTGACTTTCCTTTTATCAATTTACGCATATAAATACATTTAAAACATGTAAGTCGCGCGTAGCACGCCGTGATTCAAAAAAATGCCTTCTACACACGCATAGTGTAGGAAGATTCCACATACAATGTTAAGGTCACTTTTTTGTATCCAAATATTATAATTGTTATGGGAGGTGATTTTTACACAATTTTTAGCATCTCACACACCATTATCTATTTCTAGCTGTCAAATTGAGTAAATCAAATTAACAAAACAAACATAAATAAACAAGAATGTATAAAAAGCTATCAATCCCATAGGTTTTTCAACATCAATTTGACATTTGGATGGTAGAGACTTGAGAAATGCTAAGGAGACCTTCTCAAAGTAGGACTCTCCATGAATTCTATGTCACCTCACAGTTTAACGTTAATTTTCATACCAACATTATAAAATATTGTGCTAAAAACATAAGGTGACAGAAAATTCATAGAGAATATCACTTATGAGAAAGTTTCCTTCGCATTTCTCAAGAGACTTGTCACTAATCTAATCCCACAATTAAGGTTATTATTTGTCTAATCAAAAATGACCCCAAGTTGTTGGTGGGATGATAGATCAACATCGAAATCAAAGCTTCAACCCCAAGCAATAATACAATCCTATTTATATTTAAGACCAAGTAGTTTATACATAAACAATTGATTTAGGGCAAAAGACTATTTACTACCCTTATGTTTCGTGGTTTTTAAGATTTAGTACATAAAGTTTTTTTCGTCCCAGAGTCATACCTAAAGTGTAAATTTTGGAACAGTTTCATACATCCATTAGTCAAACTGTTAAGTCTTCCGTTAATTGATGACATGACACCCACGTGGATGATTGGACGTTACGTGTCAATAAGGGTCTCACGTGGATATTAAAAATTAAAACTTACAAAATTAAAAAGAATTACAAAATTACAAAATTTTAAAAATAAAAATTTCAATTTACGTCCTGAGGAAGGAAGGTGATGGCGATGCCTCTTCCTTCTTTTTCCTTTCCTGCTGGTTTCTTTCCTGCTCTTTCACCCCAAAACTACCCAACAACCCTTGCAAGGTTGCCCTCACGACCAAGTAATCCTCAGCAGAGGTTTGGGGGACGAAGGGAAAAGCTCAGTACGGACCTCGTTATCTTCGTCGTCGCTACCAGCAGACCCATCTTCCTCTCGCTGCCACCAACGATGATGGTGTACGAAGACCGGATCAGTCACCGGTGGAGGGATCGAAGGGGAAAATGAAGCGGGCCGAATGATATGCCTATCATACCGATTTGTAGAATTCGAATTCTTCATCTATGGAGTTTCACCTTGAAATTTTTTCCAAATCCATTTCCGTTAATTTTTCCCTATTCTTGCTTGAAACCACTGTGGGCGCTAAAGATTTTATTTGTGTTTTCTGGGAAATGGATGGATTAATTCTTGGGTATATGAGAAGTCCTTTGCTCTTTTGGGTTGTTTGATGGGTTAATTCTTTGATTAATCCTTCCTTTTTGCCTTTTGGAATGGGAAAAGAAAAACGAATGTCGAGGGGTTTGGGGACGAAGGGAGAGAAAGAAACAGAGAAGCTGAAAAAAAAAATTCAAAATAATCTTAGGCCGTAGGATATGAGCTGAACGGTTCGGATGGATTGATCCCCACTGGATCCGCATAGAAAGATCCACACGAGGATCCTGGTCCCTGCGAATCCACCATTCCCCCTCCATCTTCAGCCGTGCGCCATTGACGAGTTGTTCGCCAGGAGGATGAACCCAATTGAGAACAGCGAGGCAGGTGCCAAAGAAGAAGACGGTACAGACGAAGATGGGTCGAAAAATTAGGAAAAGCCGGTGTCTTTTTCCAAGGTCGGGCTCGAAGGTTTGAGCTCACGGGGCTGTCGGAGAGGAGATGAGGGTTGGGTGGGTGCAGAGAAGAGAAGGGAGGAAGGGAGGAGGGAGGGAGGAGGGAGGGAGAATGGATGGGGTGTCGAGGAAGGGGTGGGGGAGGTAGAAGAATACCCTTTAAAAAAAAATTAATATTATTTTATTATTTATTTTAAAAAATTTAATCCACGTGTCACCTAATCATTGTTCACGTATGTGCCATATCATCAGTTAACGGAAAACTTAACAGTTTGACTAACGGATGTATGAGACTGTTCCAAAATTTACACTTTAGGTATGACTCTGGAACGAAAAAAATTTGATGTACTAAATCTTAAAAATCACGAAACATGATGGTAATAAACAGTTTTTTGCCCATTAATTTATAAGACATGGTCCATCTCCAACTCAACTTGATTGGACAAATTAAATTCGTAGAATATTTAACATATTAATTTTGCCAGTAGGTATACAGCTAAGATGCATATCATATTACACTTTCTTGGTCCCACTCTTCACTAAAAGAATAATTTACATAATACGAGTTAACCATACGCTATTTTGTGCTAGTAAAACAAAAATATTTGTATAAAAACTTACACATATTACATATCTTTATTTTACCATCAAATTATGTTACTGTGGCAGTGTACATGTGCCATGTTACCATGTAAGTCTTTCTCTTAAGTCTGTGAACACAAATTAACCTAATTAATCATGTAGTATGTCGGTCTTGCTACACACAAATTCGAATCCCCGTCCTCCAAAAAGAAAAGGTTTCTCACAAACCTAATCACTAACACAGATCCTGATGCTGAATATGGTGCGTTATCTTTATCTCTATTTGTTTCACTGTCTAACGAATCATATCTAACACTAATCACCGAGGATGGTCCTCTTTAATTATGCTAAATTCCCAATCATTGAAATCAAAGTCCCTAATCCCTAAGATTAAGATATAAAAATTATTCTATCCTCTACTTAAGTCCTTTTTAATTAATTTTAAGAAATTTTATTTGAATCAATAATTTTATTCTACGCCCAACTCACTCTCTATACTGTATTATTTTAATTAAACTATTAATATCTTCTTAAACCCAATTTAACTATCTAAACTCTCCTCACAAATCCAATTTAATATGTATTTTCTCTAGACCCATTTAAAAGATAAAAACACAAAGTCAAAGAATATGTTCCTCCTTCCGACAGATTCATCGACTTTTTTTTCAATTCTTCATGATTAATAGAAATAGAAATAGAACTTAATTAGAATTGGTGAGAATTAATTCATCGTTTAAGTTTACAGGAGGATGACAGAAAGGACATTACCAACACCAGACACTTGCTTTTGATGGAGTCTCCATCACTCTCTACAGTGTTGCTCTCAATAAATTCCAAGTTCTCTTGCATGACCATGTTAAGCAAGCCGTCCTCTCCTCTTGGGGTCCCACCGCAGGGCTACAACATTAATTTCAACATAAACCCCCTCTTTGTCAAGGCAAAAGCTTGTGGATAGATCTATTTTTTCTTTTGTTTTGCACACGAAATTCGGCTAACAAAGTCTTTTTATTGCAGGCAATACACTCATAAACCCTAAACAAAATAATTCAATAAAAAAAAAAAAAAACTTGCACAAATCACTTCATCATACCTTAATAGGAGGATCCAAAATTTTAAAATCAACATCTATACGTAAAAAAGAGCTTATTTTTCTCTATGAGATAGCCTTAGGATTTCAACCAAAATAGAACATAAGAGAAAGATTGCGCAATGGAAAGGGTTTGATTATTGGGTATGGATTTATTGATAAAAAGTTTTATTGTTCACTTCATCTCGTACTTGATCATAATAATACAATAGAGTAAAAATGTCAATTCACATTTAAAATTTATGATGCGTGTATAAAAAAGGTTATATGGATTCAAAAAAAAATTCCATCGAGTTTTGATGCATGTGAAGACTCTTTTAGAATTATCTTGTATCAACGACCGACAAAATCGTGCATTAACATGCATACACATAACTTTCCACACATCTTTCTTTAATTATCAAATTGCCACCTCAGCAGTCATAATCTTCTTTGTCTTTCCTCTTTTGGACAGTAGAAAAATTATTCTTTTTAGTTAGGGGAGTATTTTTGCTCACCACCATAAACTATGGTGTATGCTCATCATACACCTAATCAATTGACACGTGTCATTTCATTTAATCTTGGTTGATTTTTTTCAAAATTGAAAAACTAACATTTAATGTGAGAGTTAACTAGAGTTAAGTGAAATGACACGTGTCAATTGATTAGTTGTATGGTTAGCATACACCATAGTTTATGGTGGTGAGCAAAAATGCTCGTGTTACATTAAACATGAAAATTATTTTCTGACCCTTTTTTCTATTTCCGTATGCTCGTGTTTATTATGTCTCTTTAATTTTTCTTTAACTATTTAATTTATTTTTTTAAAACAAAAAATAAGCATAATTTGCAGAAGGAGAAAAGAGAGATGTACGGAAATTATTTCCCGTGATGTATCAAACATTTCCATATACACTTAATTTAGAGTAAATGAGAAAGAAATAAAGAGATTGAGCCAGGTTAGCAGGGTGACAACCAAATGGAAAAGAAAGGAAGACAAACCCTTTCTCTCTCTACGTCTGAGATGTAAATGACAGACTGGCATTAGCAAGGTCAAGCAGAGAGAGAGAATATATATATATATATATAGACAGATAAATATGCCGTTCATATATATATATATATATATATATATATATATATATATATAGTGTGTGTGTGTGTGTGTGTGTGTGTGTATAGACAGATAAATATGCCGTTCATATATAGTGTCTCTGTGTGTATATTCCTTCTTTGTCCTAGAATTGTCCCTCAATTATCGCCTTGGGTTCTGCAGAGCTAGAGAGAGAGGGACGAGATGAGTCTCTTTGGCCTGGGAAGCAGGTTTGTACCTAATGATCCCAATTTTTTAAATCCAAAACTATATTGGATTCAGGATCATGAACTCTAGAACCCTATATTTTTTTTGTCTCGGGCTTTTTTCTTGGGTTTTTGTGACGATTGTGATATACCTGTCATGTTTGATGCATGCTTTTGCAGTTTGCACCAAAACTCTTGTCATATTTTGTTTTGCTAGAGGATTCTGCTAAATGGGGATCAATCAAAATTTAAAATTTTATCTGTTTACTCACTGAAATTTGGATCAGAAAAACAAAAAACCCAATAAAAATTTGTTTGTTCGAATTCGGAACATGTTTTTTGTTTTCGTCCTTCCCCTGAATCACATCTTTGATAATTCCATCTTTGATAATTCTGCAGAAACCAGAAGACATTCCGGCCGAAAAAGAGCGCTCCGTCCGGCAGTAAGGTTGGTTTATTACATACATACATTCCTCAGCCAACCCTAATCATGCTTACTTACTTCTGTGGTTTTTGAACTTTAATCTTTGAAGAAGATTAAAATTCAATGAAAAGCTAGTGTTAGATTGGATATTGGTTTTAGTTTTTTAATGTGTACTTAATTCAAATTCATTATATTATATTTTTGTTTTAATATTTAATAAAAATCTTATTTAATGTCATTACATTAAAATTCTATAATTATTATACGCATTTAATTCATTAATTTTATTTTACTTCCTCTAATTAGTATACCTAAACATTCGAATCATAATATATTTTACTACATTAGTGTACGAAAATGTCCATACCTAAATATATTGTAGCACCTAAATATATTGTAGTGAATTAGTGGCACATAAGAAAATATGCAAAAACATAAGCATACCGAAAAATTTCGTATCTAAATATATGATACTAAACTAGTGTACCAAAACGTCGATACCTAAATATATTATACTAAACTGGTGTACTAAAATGTCCATACCTAAACATATTATATTAACCTAGTGTGCCAAAATGTTCGTACCTAAATATATTGTAATGAATTAGTGGCACATAAGAAAATATGCAAAAACATAAGTGTACCGAAAAATCTCTACAAAAATATTTTCTTATATAACTAACCATAATGAGAATTAAAATTTATAATATTTTCATAAAATTTAATTTGAACACCATAAAATTATAAATAAAATAAAATAAAAAGACATTGAATACATATGCTGGCATTAAATAAAGTCTAAGGACTAAAATCAAATTTTAATGTTGTATAAGATATTTTTCTAAACTTCATCTTATTTAAGGATTAAAATCTAGTTTTCTATTTTTTATTTCTCAAAGGTTTTTCATGATTTTTTTTTTCCTGATGGAAGCAATATGTTTATATATATACGTTGATAAATGCAGGGTGCCCAGCTTCAGAAACACATTGATGCTACTTTGGGCAGTGGCAACCTGAGGGAGGCGGTTCGTCTGCCTCCCGGCGAAGATATAAACGAATGGCTGGCAGTAAACAGTAAGAACTTCAATATGATCATCATAATTCTTATGTTGTTAATGTGTGCATGTTTATGTATCGATACAAAATTAACCGGGAAAATTGTTATTGCACTATATTTTTAACTTCTTTCAATCTTGAACTTTTTCCGCAGCTGTCGATTTTTTCAACCAAGTGAACATTCTATATGGAACTCTCACGGAGTTCTGCACGCCGGTCAATTGTCCGACTATGTCTGCAGGGCCAAAGTATAGTTCTTGATCGTCCAGTAAATTCTTTATATAATTTTGTTAACTCTGATCAATCCTCCCCATTCGACATCAGTTCCTTCGATAAGCATTTTTTTGGGAACATATTTCCTGAGTGTTAAGTGTGGTTAAACTCTCCACAGGTATGAGTACAGATGGGCTGATGGAGTAAACATCAAGAAGCCGATTGAGGTCTCTGCTCCAAAATATGTCGAGTATCTAATGGACTGGATCGAAGTTCAGCTCGATGAGGAATCCATCTTTCCTCAAAGATTGGGTAAGCAGAAAACTTTTCCGAAGTTAATTAGACCTGAATTTTGATGAAGCTCCCTCCATCAACTTATCTGCTGTTATGTGTTACAGGAGCTCCGTTTCCGTCCAATTTCCAAGATGTTGTCAAGACCATTTTTAAGCGGCTGTTTCGCGTTTACGCGCATATCTACCATTCTCATTTCCAGAAAATTGTGAGCTTGAAGGAAGAAGCTCATCTCAACACTTGCTTCAAGCACTTTGTTCTCTTCACATGCGTAAGCTTTTGCCCTACCTCCTTTCTTTCGTAAGTTTAAGTTCTTCGCTTCGATTCTATTTGCTTGATGTTCATTCTTCGTGTTGTGACGCAGGAATTCCGCTTGATTGACAAAGGGGAGCTTGCGCCTCTTCAGGACCTGGTTGAGTCCATTTTACAGCCTAAGTGATCTCTGGAATTTTGGTCTGATGTTTCTGGATTTTGGTTCGGTTTTGGAGCACACAATTTTGTCAGCTTCTTTTCTATATCCCTCTCCTGTCCTTGTTATGGACCATTTTCTTAGATTTTGGGAATTTTAAGAAAGCTGTTTCTGCTTGTAATTTATGTTCCAAGCAATTATCTCATGTCAAATTACAACCGTACAGCCTGTTTGATCAAAATTGCTAGTCGTGCATCAGTTTGGATGATAGGATTGGTAATTTCATTCAGGTTACTTGTAAGCGACTCAGATTCACCGGTTAATTTCTTGGAATAACGCACATTCAATCGTTAAAGTTAGCAATGTATATCAAAACATTGTTATACTCGGATTGACGAAAAAATGTGAACCACTTGACATAACCCTGCCCTGAGAGAAGCCCTACAAGCCAACAACCTTGGTCCCCGAAATCTCTGGACCGGCCCTGACAAAAAAAGGTAATTCCACAAGTTGCAGCTGGAAAAATGATCCATGACGAGTGAATGAGTCATTTGATAAGGAAAAGGAGCTTGTAATAAATTAATATTCTTTGAATTACATTTTTGTAATCTTGAAGTAATACATTCGATTCAGTATCAACCCTTTGTATCCAATCAAATTTTGAAACCCCCTATGTTATGGACGAAAAAAGAACGAAAAATTAAGTGCAATATAAAACAACAGTGTAAACTTAACTGCTGTGGTACACTGGCAAGGAGGTCTTCTGTTCATCGTATCAATCTTTACTTTCCAGTGGTCGCTCGGGAGAACGCACACATGACTTCTGTGTTGAACCTCAAATTAGGCTGCAAACAACATCGTGTCACAGTTCTACACTACTCGAAGGTTTTTTTTCTTCACCCAAATGAGCTGGTGGAATTGCCAACCAACCTACTGATTTCTCTTTGCAATTGGAAATTTAAGATTGCCACTCCCTTGCTGATTCGTTTGAAATAATGGCAGCACAGACCTTGATGTCTTGCACGCTGCTGAACTCATACCGTGATTTAATGCAAAACCTGTTACCGCACTCTACTTTTTCCTTCTTGCTTCACATATACAGCCTGGATATGGATTTGCGTAAAAGCTTTCCTCCAGTTTTGGAAACTCGCCAGCCTCTCTCGGATATGGAGCTCCAACTCTGTCTATGTGAAGCTTTTTCACCTTGGAACTGAACTTGTTCCAAGAGATTTTTCCTTCGTCAAACTCATCAACAAGTTTCACAAAATTCATCCTGCATCCCCAATGGAATGGAACTTAATGTACGCCGAAAATGTAATGAATGAAAAAGAAAAATAATCATGCTAGAAGGAGTTGTAAGAAAATTGGTTATGTAATTACCTGTCTGGATTAATGGTCTTCTTAAAGTTCTCAAAGCGCCTATGACCTTGCACTGCTTTTGCCATGTTTCCATCATATGTATAAAGAAAAACGTCACTCTGTAAGGCAACAACATAGTCTATACCAGCCAACATGTTCTGATGATTCCTGAATGGATTCAGCTCTTCCTCTTTAGCAAGAGTGGAATGGGAAAATATGTTTGGGAATTCATCCTCAAGATGTTGCATACTTCCATTCCCATAAGCTTCACCAGCTACCAAGTAAATCCTGGTACTGGATGAAAATCCGAGCCCTCTGAGCAAAAGCGAAGTCTCCCTTGGGGTCAATGGGCAGCCCCCAAGCAACCTTCTCTCTGTCCCATTAATTTCTTTCTCCTTCCAGTGGCTGACTTCATATCGCATTCTACGTAGTTCTTCATCCTCTTCTGCTGTCAAACTATGACTGCACCCCGTAAATGCAAGCATATCCTTCTCATACCTGATGAGGAAATTACAATTTACATAAGAGGGAGATAAGTTTACAATAAGTTGCTGCAATCACCCTACATATCAAAGAAAGCAAAAGAAAACCTACTTTTACTAATGCAAATTCATTATATATATATATATATATATATATATATATATATCAGAGAGCTTAAGGGGAGGGATCCCCATTTTTTGAAAAAATGGGAATTAGGTGTGGGGCCCACTTCACATCGAATTTCAACAATCCGAACCGTCTATTTTGTTAGTCTCGATTCATAGATCACCCTTGCAAAAATTCAATTCAATCCGAAACCATTTGCCCATTTAATTATCAAGATCAAATTTCATTTTTTCTTATATAACAAAGTATTCGTTCATTTCCTTGAACCCAAGTAGATGTCTTAAACATTTCCAATTTAGCTAATATTTTGCAAGGATGATCTATGAATCGAGACTAACAAAATAGACGGTTCAGATCGTTGAAATTCGATGTGAAGTGGGCCCCACACCTAATCCCCATTTTTTTCAAAAAATGGGGATCCCTCCCCTTAAGCTCTCTGTATATATATATATATATATATATATATATCAATACAAATATTTAACGTGAATCGCCATTTCATCTCTGAAAGATCACCAACTTCATGCACACCAAAAGAGTGAAATGGTCCATCGGATACTAAAGTTAAAATTTATACACCACTTGCCTCAAATGAAGAGCAAGATAAGGGCCTCCACTTTTCCGCATTCTAGAAATCAAGGTTCTTCCAAGTTCTTCTATTGGAGCTGAATACTTCAATGCCCTGTAATTCACACGGCACCTCAGCCTTTGAATGGAAATTGAGAGGTCATTGTTGGCAATTCGAGAATCCGTATGAGTGAAATAGATTACTTTGTGCTGCTTCAACAGTGGGAGAACCTCTGACTTATAATAACTAGCCTGGACAAATGAATGCAAAACAAGCTAATCAGCTGGCAATAATTAATCTAAGAAATAGTAATAAATGATATGAGATACGTTGGGAATTACAGTTAAGCATAGCCATTCGTGTGCATTGAATGGACAAAATATCTGGATCGTTTTTAGAACATAGCAGAGCATCCCTAATGAATGCTCAACCTATGTTCCTCTGGCAATATTACAGTAATAAACATTACTGTACGTTGGATAAGTTTACACGGACGCTGACCTTAGACCAAGATATCAGTGTTTTGTTGAAAGGCTCGATTCCAGCATAGGCAGGGGGTAATGTCTCTACTATGTGGATATCATCCTTTAGAGTCTCAATGAAGTGTTGCCAATTGAACAGATCTTTAAAACCACTGCGAGTAGATATGAAGTACTTAGTTCAGATTATACCACCAGGAAAACTTTAACGCAATCATATCATTTGGAGCATAAAGAAACTTGAACAACTATATGATATACTCAGAACTACGGAAATAAACAAACCTCTCATCAGCCCAGTAGCTAGTGTGATCAAGTGAAGGTAGGACAAGCGTCGCCTTCAAGATCTTAGCAACAGCAACCATATCACAGATCTGCACTCTCAAAATATAATGCATCAGACTATAGTTAACACCAATGAAATCTTAAACAAGTAGAATAATCAAAATGCACAATAGCCAGACCCCAAATCTCATCTGATTCAAGCCGCCATTAGCATTTATAAGAATGTAACCGTTGGTCTTTGCGTCCAGCTCTGCCAAAAGATGCAAGTAGGACATGAGATAATGAAAACCTCAAGCTCACAAATCTAAACACACAGAGGCCAAAGACAGAGAAAGAGAACAGTAAAGTCATTTGGTTGCATGTGTCACATACGTTTGTAAGTTTTTGGCAACTCAATGCACTGACTGAAATTCTCATTGTTCGGTCGGGACCAGACACCTGTGTACTGAACCAGAAGTCAATTTCCATACCCTCAATTACTTTCAGGAAACAAGAGAGCAAAAAGCGAAAGGAATGTGATCAAGACTTAAGATTTAAGACTTACTTCAGCGCTTTTCTCTTCAACGACCACACGGTTCACACCAGACGCCATCATTATTGTTTGTTCAACATGACTTCCTCCATCCCTATATCCATATTCGTGAGAGCTTTGATCCATCCGTTTTAAAAGATTCATGGAGTCGGCACCATCCTAAATTTAGAAGAAACCATCTTAGGAAAATTTGAACAAATACACGAAAAATCTAACATAGAGCAAATGCAATCCATCCTAAAACAATCTCATCAAGCATAACACATACAATATCGAAAGCACTCACTCACTCGAGCACGCGCACACACATATGAAAACATATATATAAACATACAACCATATATTTCTTTTTTTATTCGAGCGATATTCTAACCAATCAGAGCTACGGGAAGGGGATTCGAACTGCTCTAGCTAACTTAGCTACGAAATACAAGCATATTTTATAGAAACATAATAATTTGCCAACCTGGTTGGACGAAGCAGTTTCAATAGCAGATCCAAACCAACCAGTAGCACAAATCTTCAGAATCCCGAGAAACAAACAAACCCCACAAAACGCAAAGAACATCCAATGGCCAAGCTTCCGCTTCTCCCTCAACCCCAAGTCCGCCACCACAGATCCAATTGGCCTCCTCAGGAACCCTCTCACCGCAACTCTCTGGCTTACATGGTTGTGGGTCTGCTTCCTTTCCAAAAATGAGTCAAACCCATCAGCCGGAACCGGGTTCCCGCCGATTTCAGATCTGGGCGAGTTCAGCTGGAGATCAATCTCGTACTCGCCGACGAACCCGCCATTGCCGCCGTTGGTGTTACTGCTACTTCCGATGTTGCTGCTGTGAGAACTTCCATTGTTGGAGGCAGCAGCAGCGCCGGCGTTGGGGTTGCGCTTGAACGAGTGAGCTCGGCGAGTCATTGCGCCCGAGAATCTCGGGCTGTTGACTCGCTGCGAGACGCCATCGCCGGAGTTGTGGAGGTGGTGGTGGTGACCCATGTCCTGAAACTCTGTAACACTGTAAAACGCTGCGTTTTGAAGCGATCAGAGTGGTATTTATTGGTTATCGTTGGTGATTGGATTGGGTTGCGATCGCCATTAAAGCTGTCCACAAAGCAGCAGCAACAGCCAGGCTTTCTCTTCTCTTCTCTTATCTTTCTCTCTCTAGAATTGTGACGCGTCAGAAAGTCCTGAAATCCGAAAATGTGTTGGGGGCGGAATTTGGATTTGTTTAGTAAGGCGGTGGCCAGCCAATGAAGATGGTGACACTAATTCCGATTATAATATTTGGATCCAATATTCACCATGATTCCATTTTCTTTCCGTTTTTTTTATTAAAAAAGATTTAAGATATTATAAATAAAATTTTGTAAATTAAATGACATATAAGTTGATGATTATGTTATTATTTAAACGTTGATAAATATGCTTATAAAAGACACATTATTAAAAATAAATAAATAAAAAGAGGAACAACTGGTGGCGAGCCACGATTATCCACCACATCCAAGTTCACAGAAGCATTTCAACC